CTCTGGTCTTGCAGATCAAGGCAACAGCAAGTGAAAGCGCACTACCGAATGAAGCTACAGCTATTAAGGACCTCTCTAATGTGGCTCTGTACGATACGCCTAGGAGGAAATTACTGTTCACAGGTGCGGAGTCTTATGCGCGAGGCGCGTTCTCTAACAGGGTGAGAATGGCTTCCAGGCAGGGTCAGTCCTATCGTGAGCTACTTTTTCGAAAAGTTTTTACCGACGCCCCCCCCTCTCAGGAAGAAGTTTCCTACGCCCCCCCCCCCCGTTTTTCCGGACCGATTTTTATCCCAAAAATACCGTCGAGCTGGCGGGGGGGTAGTATATGAGTTCCCTTTAAGACGCGGCCGAAAAATCTTTACATTTCCGTACAATTTGCCTATGTTTTACACAGTATTCACTGCCCTCTGCTTTTCTAGGAGGTGGTATATACGCGCGCTTGAAACGGCCCGAATTTTTCGTACGCCCGCCGCTCCCTCTCATTCACATGCCACTTCTTGCAACCGCCTAAGCAAGCACGACCCCCCCCCCTACAAACTCACCAAATACGACCCCTCCGTTGCTAAGGGTAGCAACATAGGATTGACCCTGCTTACAGGTCGCCATGGGCCTTTATAAGAGGATATTTGTTATACCACTAAATGTGCCTTTGAACGCTGATCTCAAATATACCATCAAATCTGTCTAAACGGATTCCGCTGAATGGAAGTTAGGAAGCCAAACAGTCGCAACCAAAACGTTCGTTAGGATCGGCGCCCTCATCTCGTTTTGTCTGTCATTTTTTACACTCTTTGAAATCGCGGCTAAAATAACCTATTCAAAGCCAACAGTTCCGCGCATGGTGGGCTGTGGCTTCGGAAAAACGACGACAATCCTCGGCGATTACGATTTAGCTTGACTTTAGATCCCCTCCTAGCGGTATTCCAAAGTTTGTGTTTTTGTTCACTAACATTTCCTTATGTCACGGCTGGGCAGTATAGCTCCAAAAGGAAACCGGGCCAGACGGGAATTTGCCGTCGTCTCCAAACACCCCACCCTGCCTGGCTGTTGCTTTAAAAGCTTGCTTGTTCTGCCAAGAAGAAGGCCAAAACAGTAGACGCCTCGATGGCAGGGACCCGATCCGGGGTACGGCGTTTTGACTGCAAATCCCGATCACTAGGCGTTGACACGTTGTGTTTCATAACCACTTCACTCTCTTCAAAGCATCGTTTCGCAGATTAGAAGAGTAGATTGCAGATCAGCTGTTCAAAGGCCACACCTGGCGCCATTACATCACTTTGGCCATGGCCATGGCGACCTGAGAGCCTTTCCTTGTAGGTTTTTAAAAGAGGCACTTCACACTAGGCGACTGGTTGATAATGGGACTACGACTTATTCCCTTGTAAGACTAACTACGTTCCCGACTAATCCTGGGAAATCTAGGATGTCCCGGAAATCAACAGTGTCAATAGTATGAGATAGCTGCTACGGAACATTTATCAAGAAAAGGGGCCGAAAGTTACTGTCGAAAACGCTTCTTTCTACAAACTTTTCGGGGATTCTATATCCCGATGTCCTAAAATTTAGGATATTCAGCGAAACAGATCTGCGGATTGAAAGACTGCAGGAGGGACAAGGGAGAACAGAGACATGAAAGCGCAGCTAAGGGCAGCGCTGCTGTAGGGAAAGAACCTACCTGCTCGCATTAGGGACCTATTTAGGAACGTTTTTTTGACGTCTTCGGAGGCTTGAATGACATATATCTCTTCCTATTTCACCCACGCACCCTGTCACCACCTTAGCACGTTTGACTCTGGGAATCTGCCATAGGCCGATGTCAGAATTTGCCAATCTTGCGTTTCACTCGTAGCCAGCCCGTGGTTTCGCTAGCGGATCGCTGGATTCGCTACTAGCGAAACGCTGGATTCGCAAATTCCGACGCCGCCTTTAAAGAGATGACAAAAAATCTCAATCCCATCTCTGGTAATGCTCCAATGACAAACACGAATATCATTTGATGAGCAACCTTTTTCCTTAACCCAAATATATTTGATCATATCTGTGAAGAGACTCTAATAAGACGCCAATTCTCGAAAAAAGGCTTGGAAAGAAACCACATTAGTTATACACTAACTCAATATACACAGCTGTTACCCTCTGTGAGGCAACATCCAGGATTTCTCAACGTGTGGAAAGGAACGGGGGGGGGGGAAGAGTCGTGTTCTGCTTCAGAAAAAGTTACATATTTGGTGAATCGACAGAATTTTGATGGGAAAGAATCTGGGGTATCGCTCGGTACGGGGACATCCTCTAGGAACAATCCACCGTTTAGGAATAGAGGGGGGGGGGCAGAAACTCCGAAAAGAGGAACTTGCTCACACACCTTGAAGCCTCTGAAGCCTCTCCTTCCCTACTCAAGGCCTAGTCCCGTTTTTGGTAAAAGGATGAAGCCCTGGGTGCGGTTTCAGGGGCCTTGTCACCACAATACCCCCATGTTTGCGATAGCGCTAAAATACTAGATAGAAAAGGACACGGAAAGCCAAGCGTACTTTGAGGTCAAGGTCGGTAGGTGCTAGAAAGGCAGGAACAAGGAAAGTCGTGCAGTCGTGACAGCCACCGGGGAGGGATCATAGTAAATTTCCTGAACGTTTGGCTTTTTCTTCTGCTACCTATTACGGTTTTGGAGAGCTTACCCGAAAACTTCGAACCACATCCTCTCCACCACCACCTCCTGCAATATCCGCTGCCATGTTACCAACTCGTCCTATTAGTTCTTGCAGTCCAAAGTTGTTACCCTGAAAATTAATGGTTCCAGAGGCATTTCTTTTACTATTAAGTCAACTCACGGGAGGAGGTGAGCCAGGTAGTGGAGGTCCAGGAGGCGGTGGACGGCCAAATGGCGGAGGGTGTCCAAACGGTGGAGGAGGCCCTCTAGGTGGAGGAGCTCCACGGAAATCGAGACCGAAGCCTGGTGGAGGAGGACCTCCGAACTGTCGTTGAGGCTGTCTATTTTGGCCCCATCGATCGTCATTGAAACCCTGATTACCCCATGCTGGTCCACCTGCGATACCACCTGAAAATAACGTCATGTTGCTTCGGTTGGTGCTCAACTACAAGAAACTAAATGTGAAGTAAATATTAGGGCAATTCATTCTAATTTTCAATATTATGAATTTCAATTTCAGTAATTAAATTGTCAATTGGATTTCAATTCCGGGAAAAAAATTAGCCCTAAATTGCTTCACAAGGCACCTGCAAATGCAATGGATGGGATTATTGAGGGGAGCAACATAGCAATATGAACGGTCCCAGCCAGAGTCAACCCTGCGTTGCGCAGTTCGCAACGGCACGTTGAGAGATCCTCAACGCACGCTGTATGGGCGGAGACGCAGACGGCTTGAGCATGCGAGTGTGAATGTTCGCGCGAGAGAACGTGTTTAATCGGGCGAAATCGCGCAACGTGGCCGTTGAGAACTGCGCAACGCAGGGTTGACTCTGGTCCCAGCGCGATAAGGGGTGTGGTTGAGCCATATACGGCTCTCCCACTGACTACACTGTTCTGCTAGCGATCTCTAAAAACTTCACCGCTTCAAAAATGGCAGTGCAAAAAGATTGGTTCTTTTGTAATTCAATATCTTGTGCTTATAAAGTCAATAACAATATACCTATTTATTCCAATAAAATTAGGAACTTGATCCTATCAGGAAACTTTCATAAAAAAATTTACCATCTGCTGTAGAGGTTTTTTGCTATCGAGCGGTGGATTATTTACCCTTAATAATGATTATTCCAGCGTAAACTTGTACATAAGAATTACTTGGTGTCCTGGTTACGAATATAACATTCGTTTTTGAAATTGGCGCTGTCTAACGCATACTTTCTGCTTTCCTCTCTAACTTATATATTATGCTTAAGACTAAGCTTACTGGAAAAGGGGGACTACAAGGTGGGTAAACCACGCGGCATGTGACAAAAGCTGAGGTGTGTGATATCAGGGTGAGTGTGCACTCACTTCTGAGCACTCCTTTCCCCAAGGCTTAGTTCTGATAGTGATCAGCCCAGTGCGAGGGCACAAACGAGCAGAATGGGCGCCAAATGACGCAAGAGTCAAAATTAAATGTCATATTCGTGATTAGGTTACCAAATAACTCCTACGTACAAAATTACTCCGAATTTTGTGAAAACAGCTGTTGCAGCCGGGTGGCGCTAACTGGCGCCAGATAGCACCAACATCGAAAATGAATGTTATATTCGTGATCAGGGCATCGAGTTACCCCTATAGGCAAAGTTTCGACAAAATTTTTTTTAGATCTTGGAGCAGTAATAGTGAAAATGTGCCATGAAAATTGGACTTCAGCGACGAAATCTGGGCTTTCGTGTGACTTTCTATGGGTCCATAATCCAACAACTACAAAAATTGAAGAATTTTTTTTCAGAGCTCATTTCGAAGTTTTTTTGAAACTCGACGTATGAACTCCTCTCAGACTGAACTTACGAGGATAATCAATGAATATTCTAGATTCTATAAACTACCAGAAATAATAACCTACTCAATAAAGAATGGAAGGAATTAATTAGCACTTGGAAAATGTGAAAGCGCATCACGGATCGACTGGATATGAAGCAGATGTTGTTGAGTTGTAAATGATATTGGGATGTAATGTTCTCAGATTAGTAATCGAAACCCACTGAATAACGATTAAGGTTTCCTTGGATTCAAAAGTGCGTAGGCCAAGGTGACTCACATAAAATCTTCTGTCACGCAGATGAAAGCACGCAAGTTGAGAAGGTGGGTGGAGTCACTGATAGAATGTTGTACTGCCGATAGGTGTTTGACTATTTAACACAGTAATGGCAGCGCGGTCCGCTAGCGGATCACACGTTGGGGCCACATGGGCCAGCGTGAGTCACAACCGGTCACAACCATGACATCCTTTCTATACGCACATGCAATTTCTTTGCGATTTTGCGTCAATTCTGCATATTTAAATAATGAACGACATGGTCTGGAAAACAGTTTATATTCTGACAAAAATTGCTAAAATATTGAAAATAGAAATAGTGACCGACGAGGAGGTCACACTTCTACAGTGTTGCTCGTCCCAGGAGCCAAAAAAGTGCTCCCACCCCCGTCAATTTCCTTGAATTTTGAAGGAACGCTCGAACGAATAGGAGTGATCAGTGGTACCACTAATAACACCTTAAAAGGACGAATTCACGATTAAAATGAAGGTCGAAGAAGGAGTAATTCACCTAGTTGAGGGACCCGCGGACCTCCTGAGGGTGCGGAATGAAGCGCAATTGGCACCGAAGTAGTTGACCTCGGCGACCTAATAAGGCTCAATCTTGGCGCGGTAAGCCAGTGCACGCCCACCAACCAGCTGATCGCTCGCCGTGGGTCTATACATGGCGATTGATTAGATAGCAGAGAGAGCGTAGTGTTGAAGAGGGAACAGCGTAGCGATCCGCGTCAATGCACAAATCAACGAGGAAGGAAGGGGTCCCATTTCTCGGGTTCTGGGCCGTTTCTCATGATTTTTCCTTCGTGTGTTACTCGCCATCCCTAGGTCAATTTGAAATGGGTTGCTTTTTGATCGTTAATTCGTCCTTTAAGTTCAAAGCGCCCTCTACCTTTGAATGGATCGGTAGTTTGAGTCATAACACGCTGCTATTAGTGGGTTTCTGCCCAAGAAACGTCGTCTTCTTTGTACATCACCAAAGTCCGTTGAAGTCCGTTGACCTCCACTTACAACACTCTCTCGAGAGGTTACAATGAAATTTAAAGATTCAGCAAAGCAGAATCAGGTTATTTGGCCATCCTCCCGCCCTGAAGTACAGTACGTGGCGCATCCCGAAAAGATTCACTCATGCGTATTCATCTATTCTATGCAGTTTCGAAGGGTTTACACAGGCGTAGCAGCTTCTAGCTTTATATTAAGCAACATGTTTATATTCTTATCGGCAAAGGAACCCCACACATGTACTGTTTGGACTGACTCTCCACTATGAAAATTTAATAGGAACTTTTCTTTTGATACATGCCAACCCCACTTTTTGTGGCTGTTTTGCACGAGATCGCACGTGTCGTGGCCGGGTCATTGCAGGAACATGATTTATTGCGTCTGCTAGAATACTTCTTCTTTCACACAACTAGGGTAATAGAGAACTTACTTGTCAACTTGCCCTTGCCTTTTTGTGCGCAGTAAAAAAGTAAAATAAAATAAAGAGAATTGTAAATTTAATAGGAAAGATGTTTCGTTTTATGTAATAATTCGAATCGTTGAATCCCGTAAATGTATGTTTTATTATGGGGTCTATGCAACGAGATAGTCTAGTTTCCGTTTCGCACGTGCCCTTAGACGGAAACTAGACGGATTGAGTATCCCTCCTGTGAGCTCATCAGTAAGGAAAGGAAGGAAAAACTGTTGTTCAAGATATTAATTACTTTATTTTGTATTTCAAATTCAAACATTTTTCCAAATTATTATAAATATTACATTAGGAACAATATGTCTATGTTCTTATCTTCAAAACTTGCATGCCAGAAAAAAGCACAATTCACTTGAGCCCAGATAGGCCACGCTTTTATATCTCCCTCAAGGATTGCGATGACATTTGCATGTGATTTAGTTTGTGTAATAAAATGTGGCAAAAAATAAATAATAAAATAAAGTGTTGAATACAGCCAGTGCTATTCCAGATAAATTGGCACGACACCTCTACGAAAAATTTGAATTGCAAATAAAAATTTAAAGAAAACGCAAAGGAAGTGCCAAGGATAGAAGGTAAGGGCACTTATCACGATGGGTCAAGAAGGACCAGTTGCAGGGGACCAGTAGTGCTCAATGGCACGCCAGTGGCGAAAGAGAGAGACCAGTCAAGAAAACGCAAAAAGGGACCCTCTTTTTTGGCTCACCCATGAACATGTAAAAGCTCAGAAAACGGATTCATGAACGAGTTCATCGTAACGCCTTTGCGCATGACAGTCCATGCTCTCGTAGAGTTGGTTCAGTTGTGCCGCTGCTGACAACGCAGCTCGTCCAAATCACCAAGTAAACTAGTAGGCGGATCGCTTTTGGGGCGGAGTGCTTTCGAAGTCTTGCTCAGCAACAAATCATTTTCGTCGTGAAAGCGCCACACTTTTCTTCCTTGGCAGCCGAGTAACTGCTTCATGTGGTACGTATGCTTCCCCGATGCGCTCCCTCTTTATCATGACCGCTGCCTTTAAATGCTGCGAACGCGATGGTCTGAGGATGGTGAAATTTTGGCGACGTCATTGGGCGTCATGGGTGGATGATCGTCGAAGCGTAGAGGAGGCCTCGAATACATCCCCTTCTCCTTCTCTCTCCTCCCCCCCCCCCACTCTTAGCTCGCAGAGAGGTCTGGTTTACTGAACCACCAAAGGTGTCGAATAACGGCATCGAAATCGCATCGCCCTCCTGGTCACTGCAGTCGAGTACCGTTGGCAGAAAGTCGGCAGTGTAAGAGTATCTGCTTCAGGTTGCTTTATAAAGGATAAAGGACAAAGCATTTGGCGTAGGTCAAACCGTTTTTGGGATGCGGCACGCATTCTACTTCCATTTGTACATCCGTAGTGGCGTTTGAATGCGATGTGGCCTATACAGTGACTTACGGGGGCCAGCCGATGTACAAGTCAGTGATTTTATCCTCCCAGACAGATCTGGCACCAATTAACCCACCCCGGAGGGATGGAAGGCTTGGTTGGCCCTGGCGACTCACGACCCAGGATTTGATCCCCGGAGCGCTCACGTGGTAAGCGTGCCACTTCCCACTGCACCACTTCCGCACGTGGGTTGCTTTATGCCTCAGAAAACCCCACTTTTCATCTCTTCCGTATGCAGAAGTACCAATATAAAGTTGGAAAGAGTCGAGCTTTGTTTAACGCTTAAAAACTATTACGTTTTTTATTTTTCATGTTTGTATGTTTATAAGAAATTGTTTGAATAGCGGCACATGAAGAATCGCTGCAAGAATATGGAGAGTCGACAGATGGACGGAGCCCGGAGTGAACTACTACGGAATTTTCGGAGACTCACAGTCCTCACTGTGTTCAGTGCCTTCCTTCGCA